CCCTATCCACATAAAAGTAACCAGCCCTATACACGTAAAAGTAACCAGCCCTATACACGTAAAAGTAACCAGCCCTATACACGTAAAAGTAACCAGCCCTACACATGTAAAACTGACCAGCCCTACACATGTAAAACTGACCAGCCCTATACACGTTAAACTAACTAGCCCTATACACGTAAAACTAACCAGCCCTATACACGTAAAACTGACCAGCCCTGTACACGTAAAACTGACCAGCCCTATACACGTAAAACTAACCAGCCCTATACACGTAAAACTAACCAGCACTATACACGTAAAACTGACCAGCCCTATACACGTAAAACTGACCAGCCCTATACACGTAAAACTGACCAGCCCTATACACGTAAATCTAACCAGCTCTATACACGTAAAACTAACCAGCTCTATACACCTAAAACGTATCAACCAACCAACCAGCTCTATAAACATAAAACTAACCAGCTCCATACACATAAAACCAACCAACCAACCAACAAACCCACCCTATACCCGTAAAACAAACCAGCCCTATACCTGTAAAACTAACCAGCCCTATACACGCAAAACTAACCAGCCCTATACACGTAAAACTAACCAGCCCTATACACGTAAAACTAACCAGCCCTATACCCCTAAAACTAACCAGCCATATACACGCAAAACTAACCAGCCCTATACACGTAAAACTAACCAGCCCTATACACGTAAAACTAACCAGCCCTATACACGTAAAACTAACAAGCCCTATACACTTCAAACTAACCAGCTCTATACACATAAAACTAACCGACCAACCAACCAGCTCTATACACATAAAACCAACCAACCAACAAACCCACCCTATACACGTAAAACTAACCAGCCCTATACACGCAAACTTAACCTGTCCTAAACGCGTAAAAGTAACCAGCCCTATACACATAAAACTAACCAGCCCTATAAACATAAAACTAACCAGCCCTATTCACGTGAACTAATGGGCCTTTTCCATCTGTACCGGGTCGGCCCGGGCCGGGTAGCGTAGGTTGTTTACATATCTGGGTGGCCTGGTGTTTTTACGGGCCAACCAAGCCTCATTCTCAGCCCTCTTCTCGAGGGGGTCTGCTTCAGGCCGACCAGGGCCAACACACCCACTGCTGACAGCAAATTCACACCTTCCATTAGAGCAAGCCTCTGATTGGTGGGTAGAATCAGCCCACATGGGCTTAAGACAAGGATGTGTGGAATCAACCGGGCCAGGCAGGGCTGACTGTGGCTACCCGGCCCGGGCCGACCCGGTACAGATGGGAATGGCCCATTACCAGCCCTATACACGTAAAACTAACCAGCCCTATACACGTAAAACTAACCAGCCCTATACACGTAAAACTAACAGCCCAATACACGTAAAACTAACAGCCCAATACACGTAAAACTAACCAGCCCAATACACGTAAAACTAACCAGCCCTATACACGTAAAACTAACCACCCCTATACACGCAAAACTAACCAGCCCTATACACGTAAAACTAACCAGCCCTATACACGTAAAACTAACCAGCCCTATACACGTAAAACTAACCAGCCCTATACACGCAAAACTAACCAGCCCTATACACGCAAAACTAACCAGCCCTATACACGTAAAACTAACCAGCCCTATACACGTAAAACTAACCAGCCCTATACACGTAAAACTAACCAGCCCTATAAACGTAAAACTGACCAGCCCTATACATGTAAAACTGACCAGCCCTATACACGTAAAACTAACATGCTCTATACACATAAAACTAACCAGCTCCATACACATAAAACCAACAAACCAAAAAACCCACCCTATACCCGTAAAACTAACCAGCCCTATACATGCAAAACTAACCAGCCCTATACACGCAAAACTAACCAGCCCTATACACGTAAAACTAACCAGCCCTATACACATAAAACTAACCAGCTCTATACACATAAAACTGACCAACCAACCAACCAGCTCTATACACGTATAACTAACCAGCTCTATACACGTAAAACTAACCAACCAACAAACCCACCCTATACCCGTAAAACTAACCAGCCCTATACATGCAAAACTAACCAGCCCTATACACGTAAAACTAACCAGCCCTATACACGTAAAACTAACCAGCTCTATACACATAAAACTTAACCAACCAACCAACCAGCTCTATACACGTATAACTAACCAGCTCTATACACGTAGAAACTAACCAACCAACAAACCAACCCTATACACGTAAAACTAACCAGCCCTATACACGCAAATTTAACCAGCCCTATACACATAAAAGTAACCAGCCCTATACACGTAAAAGTAACCAGCCCTATACATGTAAAAGTAACCAGCCCTATACACGTAAAAGTAACCAGCCCTATACATGTAAAACTGACCAGCCCTATACACGTAAAACTGACCAGGCCTATACACGTAAAACTGACCAGCCCTATACACGTAAAACTAACCAGCTCTATACTCGTAAAACTAACCAACCAACAAACCAGCTCTATACACATAAAACTAACCAGCTCCATACACATAAAACCAACCAACCAACAAACCCACCCTTTACCCGTAAAACTAACCAGCCCTATACACGCAAAACTAACCAGCCCTATACACGTAAAACTAACGAGCCCTATACACGTAAAACTAACCAGCTCTATACACATAAAACTAACCAACCAACCAGCTCTATACACGTAAAACTAACCAACCAAGAAACCAACCCTATACACGTAAAACTAACCAGCCCTATACACGCAAACTTAACCAGCCCTATACACATAAAAGTAACCAACCCTATACACGTAAAAGTAACCAGCCCTATACACCTAAAAGTAACCAGCCCTATACACGTAAAAGTAACCAGTCCTATACACGTAAAACTAACCAGCTCTATACACATAAAACTAACCAGCTCTATACTCGTAAAACTAACCAACCAACAAACCAGCTCTATACACGTAAAACTAACCAGCTCCATACACATAAAACCAACCAACCAACAAACCCACCCTTTACCCGTAAAACCAACCAGCCCTATACACGCAAAACTAACCAGCCCTATACACGTAAAACTAACGAGCCCTATACACGTAAAACTAACCAGCTCTATACACATGAAACTAACCAACCAACCAACCAGCTCTATACACGTAAAACTAACCAGCTCTATACACGTAAAACTAACCAACCAAGAAACCAACCCTATACACGTAAAACTAACCAGCCCTATACACGCAAACTTCACCAGCCCTATCCACATAAAAGTAACCAGCCCTATACACGTAAAAGTAACCAGCCCTATACACGTAAAAGTAACCAGCCCTATACACGTAAAAGTAACCAGCCCTACACATGTAAAACTGACCAGCCCTACACATGTAAAACTGACCAGCCCTATACACGTTAAACTAACTAGCCCTATACACGTAAAACTAACCAGCCCTATACACGTAAAACTGACCAGCCCTATACACGTAAAACTGACCAGCCCTATACACGTAAAACTAACCAGCCCTATACACGTAAAACTAACCAGCACTATACACGTAAAACTAACAAGCCTATACACGTAAAACTGACCAGCCCTATACACGTAAAACTGACCAGCCCTATACACGTAAATCTAACCAGCTCTATACACATAAAACTAACCAGCTCTATACACCTAAAACGTATCAACCAACCAACCAGCTCTATAAACATAAAACTAACCAGCTCCATACACATAAAACCAACCAACCAACCAACAAACCCACCCTATACCCGTAAAACAACCCAGCCCTATACCTGTAAAACTAACCAGCCCTATACACGCAAAACTAACCAGCCCTATACACGTAAAACTAACCAGCCCTATACACATAAAACTAACCAGCCATATACACGTAAAACTAACGAGCCCTATACACGTAAAACTAACGAGCCCTATACACGTCAAACTAACCAGCTCTATACACATAAAACTAACCGACCAACCAACCAGCTCTATACACATAAAACCAACCAACCAACAAACCCACCCTATACACGTAAAACTAACCAGCCCTATACACGCAAACTTAACCTGCCCTATAAACGTAAAACTAACCAGCCCTATAAACGTAAAACTAACCAGCCCTATACACGTAAAACTAATGGGCCATTTCCATCTGTACCGGGTCGGCCCGGGACGGGTAGCCTAGGTTGTTTACATATCTGGGTGGCCTGGTTTTTTTCCGGGCCAACCAAGGCTCATTCTCAGCCCTCTTCTCGAGGGGGTCTGCTTCAGGCCGACAAGGGCCAACATACCCACTGCTGACAGCAAATTCACACCTTCCATTAGAGCAAGCCTCTGATTGGTGGGTAGAATCAGCCAACATGGGCTTAAAGTAGTGGTAATCCCCTGTCAGAGTCTTACTCCACCCACATTTCATATTTGAAAAATGCGGCCCAAAGAGGCGTTTCCTGTAAGACCGAGAAGGCGGAGCTACGACCGTGATTGACATACTGAAATTTGAATACAGATGGCGACGGAGAGCGACAGTAGCTCAGAGCAGTCATTCGAGGTGGAGGACTTTTCCCCACCTTCTTCCCCAGAGGATAGGGAGGAGGGCTTATTGGGGGAAGCAAGCGGTCCTGAACCGTATCTTTTTGAGCCACTAGCTCGTGAGTTGTCAGAGGCCCCTGGAGTCGAGCCAGCAGGAGTATCAAGGCATCTAATGGGTCCAGTCTCTGAGTGGTAAGTAGCTTTTAGCCACAGCTAGCTATATTTAGCTTAGCTAAAAGTAATTTTGTATGACTGCCTCAACAGGTGCACCTTTGGCCACTGCACATCATTGTCTCCCAGAGAAAATGTGTGCTGCAGAGAAACGCCCAAGGTATAAAAATAAAAGTACCCCACCATGAGAAAAGCATTCTGTAATGTACACATTTGTTACACAATCACTAACATCATACTAATATTGAACTCTTATAGCCCTGATATCAGTTGTTCTTTGTCATAGGTAATGCTCAGGTGTCAGCAGGTGGGTGTAACCTCCTGCATAACAGAGCATCCTGGTTTTGAGGCTGTTGCTCTGAATCCCTACGTGTTGCAGGCAGTTTATGGCAGCTTTCTGCAACTCTATGGGGAGATGCAGGAGACTACGCTCAACAGGTAAGACAACTGTCAAAATAATTTTTTTATGAATACTTTATAACTCATACCACCTCTTTCTCAGCTGTTACAGACATCTGGCGTACCGGAATGTGGTCAGGTGGTGTTGGGGTTACCTGGGACAGCACGTTCGTGTTGTGATCCCGTCATGCGCTGTCTCCAGAATAAGGCAGGAGTTCCCAGAAGACGGTGCATACAAAGGATTCCTCCCTCCTCTGAACTAATATATATTTTTTGGATTAAATAAATGTTATAATATATATTTCCTGTATTGATTCCTGTCCATAAAAAGCTGCATAAATCACAAAACGGTAAATGCACTTCTTTACACTTTGACATTATTTATATATACACACATATAGCCACACACTTTTCAAATGAGCTCTTACAACAGTAAGGTTCTAATTCGGGGTTAATTAATGCTGCTGTAACAAGTGAGTTTACACCCTGTGTGATTAATGAAGTCTAATCTAGAGCAGGTTCAATTAGGTAAAAATGAATGATAATTTAATAAATGTGATATATGTATTTATACAAATCAAAATATCAATATAATTGTATTTAAAATGACACAATTGCGCTTTAAAGATAACATTTATTATAGCTACTACTAAGACAACGTTAGATTACAATCTGATCATAACTTTCATGATTTTTGACAAAACTCTAAACCACAAGCAGAGATTCTGGAGCCATGTGAGGATAGGTTGGGCCATCAGTGATGTTTCTTTGGTTCCTTAGACTGGAGGTAGCTTTCACTGTGATGACAAACGTGGAGATGGATCCCGGGAGCACAGGCTTTTCTGTAACAATATCAGGAGGCTCTGAGGAAAAAAGTAATATTAGTATGACTAGTATGACTTACAAAAGCAAGACTGGTGAGTTTTGTTATGTTACATACGGCCAAGATTTTCAAGTTGTATGGGAGCCACAGAGCAGAAAGGTTGTAGAGATCAATAGACATCTGGGAGGTGGACAGCATGAGTCACGAGTGGATGAGCATAAAGATCCATAATGACGACAGGTAACTCCTCTGTCGTACAGTGGTGTGCAGCCTGGCTGAGGAGGAGAAAAGGAAAAACCACACAGAGTAGAGTACTAACTAATAATTACAATCTCTTGTTGTGTAGCTCACCTTACGTGCACTTTAAAACCTGGACCTGTGCCTGCTCACAGCATCCCGTTTATCTGGTCTTTGGAACTGGGCACAGAGCGGTTCTGGAACCGGAATTTTGTCCGAGTACTCCTGATATGGGAGAGGATCCACCACCACAGAGTCGAACAGCAGATCTATAAGCTTGTGCACATATACTGGAAAAGGGTTTTCAGTATTACAATAGCTCTCCATGACATCATTTTGGTTTTATCATACAATATATGACATACATGAGGTTGGATTGGTCTTCAGGGCTCTCACTGTGTAGTCTCCATGTTTGTACTTTGGGTACACTACAGCATATCTCAGCTCACCAGTTGCTGTTGCTGCATGTGAGCGTGCTGCATTTTCATTATAGTGCATTGCAGCAATTTGTAATCTGAAATAATCAAATAAACAAACCATGTAGATTTTAGGCAAAATTCTACATTTCATTCTAAAATTTGAACAATTAGAGGCATTAATTTGAACATTTGTTGTATTCATTACCTAGACAGCATTCCTTTGAAGGAGAAGACCTGACTTTTTGGAGTAAATCTGATGATGAGACTGTGGAAAGCCTCCAAGGTGGATGTGTGGTACTGAGGGCTTATCTTCTCTACGTCCTTCACAAACCGTGGAGCTAACAGAATGGCAGTGAGCTTCTCACATGATGCTGTGCCTAAGTAGAAAATGTTAATTACAAAAATTACAATTTGATCAACTTTAGAATGTTGCTATTATTTCATTGAGAAAAAGTTACCCATAGCTGACATTTTTAGATGACAAATGTATGAAAGAGTGACTAATAGTGCTGTAGACAGGTGTGGTAATTACTTACGGCATTTTAGTACATATTATGTCAATTATGGCTGTTCTGCCTAAAACCATGAGTTGTGTGGCACACTCTTCTGTTTAAATTTCTGCACAGCATTTTATTCTTAGTAATTAATTGCTGTTGGCCAAATGGTGGTGTGTGACCTTAGCAGCCACATGTGACGTCTGTAACTCTCATGCTCCAAAAATATTTCTCCATGTTGAAGGAGGTGAAGACAAATATTCTGTTGTGGGGTGACGTGTTTTAAATGTAAAGAAACCAAACAGTAAAGGCTCAGCTGTAATGAGTACATGCTACACTTACTTGGTTTGAGCCACTGTCTTGCCTGTTCTCCATCCAGAGGTGCATGCAGACAGCTAGGGAACAGGGCGTTGTCATGGCTGTGCACATTTTGGATGTGGTTGGCAACTGAAGTCCACTTTGCTACTGCCTCCTGTCCTGAGGAGGAACTGGATGCTGACCAGTAGAGGTGGTTCACCACACTTTGCTTCCACAGTCTCACATCCTGGGTCGTCTTTCTCTTCCCCAGCGCTTCGATTTTCTTACCAATTCCTGGAGAGCCAAACAGACCCACATTTAAAATAGAAAAAAAATCCTGTAATATTCACTATATACATCCACAAAGATTACCTTTTCCCATGTGCCAGGGGTCAAAGTAGTGACTGATTTCCTTTTTTTCCTCCCGCAAATACTTCTGCACTCCTGTGTGGCGGTCAGTCACGACTTGCTGCACATCGACCCCCCTCTCCAAAAGTGTGCTCAGACTTCTCACAAATCCCTCCTTCTCCATTCGCACACTATTTCCAACTTCATTGCTCTGAAAATAAACATAATTCTCCATTGATCTGTGAATAATTAACCATGAAATGCATTGGAATCATCAGGTAATGTTGTACCTGTACAAGTTGGATATCAGTAACTTTGTTTCTTTTGAGATCCTTCATGGTGCAGCTGCCATATTTGGCTGAGTTTCCTTCAAGAAATGCAAGTTATTACTTAATTTACATTTGATAGCAAAGGAATAAAATAAATAAATTTAAAAGTATTCACCAGGTGAATCAGCTCGCATGTCACCACCAAGAGTCACAGGTCCAGATTCAGTAGCCTCCTGGATGATATCAGCTTGCTCTAGCTGCCACTGCCAGCTCACTGTTGGAATTAACAGCTTTGCCTGATGTCGAAAGAATGTCTGCTTGGACAGTCCCTGCACATTGAAGGCACCCAGGAACTAAAATATGAAAAGTTACGTCATGAAATGAGAGACGCACAGACCTTATCAAAACCAACCTAAACAGTTTTGGCCTATACCTTAGAAATCTGGCTAAATGATGAGCCTGTGAAAAGGACAGCAGCACAGAGCTGGAGGTTTCCTGCTGGGATGCTGTTCACCATGGGCTGACTGGACCACTCATTGTAGTGCTCACAGCATGAACACCGTTGTGTCACACGGAGCAGTGTGCCGACTGTTGTCGTGTTCACAACACAACGACCGGTACAAACGGGACACCTTCTGAACAGCCCCAGCAACTGTTTCTCATGAACAATGTACTTCTTGTCCTTTTGTGGATGGACCTCAGTGAAAGAGCTGTATAGAACACATACATTTATATATATGGTCATAACTAAAAAATTCTAAAATGTTATAATTTTTTTTTACCTTGAACAGTTCACTGAGCTTCCACTGTCATTGAGGTGGAAGCTGGGATCAACAACAGACACCTCATATCGTGGTCTTTTCAGGGGTGTGGACGCAGCTCTGGGACTTTGTGGAAGATGAATTTCCGTCACGGTCCCTGTTTCACAAGACACACTGCGGCTGTGAGCTTTAAACTGGGTGGCTATGTAAAATACAAAGAAGCAGCACATTTATAAATGTTTAAAAGAGCATAAAATCACGTGTAACAATAATCTGCAAAACAAATAAAAACTAGAAGGTAATAATAAAATGTTTACGTAGAAGATTATTAAAAATAATTCACCTTTGCTACGTCGATAAGGCTTTACATGAGCCTGGACAAGTGCATTTTTGCAGATTACTAAATCAGTCTGACAGCCAACGTCTTGGGTAGATTTAGCCTGAAAAAAAAAATAGAAGCACATTGTTGTTGTTGTTTATAAAGTCAGATAATATACAAAAGAAACTGTCCGAAATATATATATATATATATTTATATATATATATATATATATATATATATATATATATATATATATATATATAGGCGCTTTATGACATTCCTAGTGTGTGATCGTTATTATAACGTAAAAGTCAGTCACATATGATGTGAAGAACCTGAAATGCGACCTCCTGAACAGAATTCCTCACAGAACCGGGTTAGGCTTTGGTGTAAAGCTGGATTTCACGCTGTAATGATGTCTGTCAACTAGTGCTGCGTTAGAGCCACTGTTGCTGAATTACCGACTGACACAAAAACAACCCGGATTTTCTCCGAGCCTGACAGAAATAGTCATGTGGACCTTTTTGTCGGCCAGGGCTTCGAGAAATGTTCCGATTCTCCGCTGATTCTAACCTTACATCCCGTTCCACATTTTGTGAACTTGACAATTTAGCCCGAAGGCAGTGCAGGCTGATATTAGCTAAAGGAAGTGAACCACGTCTCTCAAACTTTGCATTTAGGTAGGGAATTGTCTTTAGAAGATGTTAAAACGTTTATTTAGCTTACTCACCTCAGACTGGAGCCCGCCATGGTGGGGGAGCAGAGTCGGTGGGCTGCATCTAATTCGTGGAAGAGCCACGGTGGGCACGGCCTCACTCTTCAAACGGAGACGTGCAGAATAACCCAGTTCAAACTCCATCATGTTGGCGAAGGAATCGCGGGTAAAATGCTGGTTGCAGACTACAGCACCAGGCGGGAGCTGACTGTTATCCTGTACACGATTGCGCGCAACCACTGGCGCCTAATTTCTAAGTCCAGTGGAAAGGAGTGCAACCCCACAGAGCTACCACAACCAACTACACTACACCTTTTAACCATACTAACACTATATGGAACACTAAACCCGAATTATTTTCCTAATAAAACTAACAGCTAAACACTAACTAAACTACAATATCTAACAGCCAAGCTGACACTAAATAAGTACTAACACGATATGGAACACTAAACCCGAACTACTTTCCTAGTAACACTAAAAGCCAAACACTAACTAAACTACAATATCTAACAGCCAAGCTAACACTAAATAAGTATTTATAACACTAAAAGCTATGCTAAAGACTATAATATGCTAATGCTATATGCTAATGCTGAACTACCGCTAACCGTCC